TAGGGTGTCATCAAGAAGCCTTTCGTGAACCCAATCATAAAAAAATAAAAATACCATAATTCCTTCAAAAATCAATGAAGCAGAACGAAATGCAAACTTGATCTATAAATAATCAAGGAAAAGTCTTATACTAAAATTCAGCTCAATATCTGCGAGCATTTAGAAAAAAAAAGTGCGGAAAACCCTGAAAATTTGAAAGGGTTGTAATTCCGTACAAAATCATTGCAGCGGAACGGCTTTCAAACTTTATCTGTAACTCATCAAGATACACTCACATACCAAAAGTCAGCTCAATATCTGCATGCGTTTAGAAAAAAAGTGCGGAAAACGAAAAACGGAGAGACTGACTGGCAGACGGACGGACGGACAGACAGGCGCAGAGGAAACCTATAGTCCCCTCTGGTTTCATCGGTAGGTGACTAATTAAATTCTATGAAAGTGTTACATTTCCAGGTATCCCCAGATTTCAACACGATCTGGTAATTCATCATTAAAAAAACGCTTTTGTCAATATTGGGGGAGATAAAATTTGTCTGGGTCCAGAGATTTGATTTAAATTATAACAAAAAAGTAGGACAATTTGATTGTCAAAATCTTTTTTATTCATAGAAATTTTAGCTTTAATACTACCCTGTTTTTCTTGTAATGCTACGTAGGTAGACAAACCATCAACACATATGTTTAGACGAAGACAAAAAAATGCCCGTTATTTTTAATTATAGATATAACTTTCAACAAAAATATATACATGTTACATTTGAATTTGTTACTAAAACAAGAGGTGGGAACAGGGGCCTTATTTGAGCAAGCAGCCCTCTCGACCGGTCAAAAATAAACATACGAGGGTTGATCCAAAAGTTCGTGAAATTTAATTTCTTTCTAAAATTTTATCGTGATTTGATGAAAGCAGACAACATGCATATTTATAATATAGAGTCATAATGCAACAATATTGGAAAATTTCACCACTTTCCAATCATCTATAAGGTCACACGAGCTTTCTGAAAATGGATAGTTGTGAAACCTGGGGGAGACTTCGACCTAACGTCAAGTAAGGTATGTCACATCATGTTATAGAAGCATCTCACCCTAATGTCTAATTCGAATACGTAATGCTTCAAAATGCTGTCCTATTCTTCATTTTTTTTCTCAAGAAAAGCCTGGGTATACTCTCACACCAACGTATCTTCATTTTTCACTCATATTTCAAATACCCCGATCTATCCATATTATGTTCCAATTTCAGTAGCAATGTCAAGAACAGTACGTCAGTCGACAACATCCATGAACGCTTTTAGTTTGCCGGGGAGGGGGGGGGGGGTTAAACACTTAAAACAGAGCCTATAATAAAAGGCGGCCATACCTTTAATCAACATCCATGGCAGTTCTATGTTTCTTAAATTTCTTATACCACTGGAAAACCAGTAACTAAATGCATTTTTCCCAGCCTATGTCAATAATATAAGCGTTTCAGATGAATGATCCCGGGAATTTCACAAAACTTATGACTTGACCGAAACTTGACGTTGTCTAACAGCTTAAAGATGAACAATAGATCATCAACTAATTACATGAATATCCAGTAAAATCAGTAAAACTCTCATAAAAAGGTTTATAAAAGATCAATCAATCGTAGTTATGACATAATTTTCGTTTTATATACCACATAGGACGGTTTTATAATTATTTCACGTATTAAGAATTAAAATGATTATAAATGCCTTCATATCTCTCCCTCATTTCCAAACAACCGTTTCTATGGCAACTGTCATAGAGTTACTATCATAAATATTCTAAAAAAGATATTTAGAATATTCAACAAGTGTCCATATTCTCATTTGTAGTTTTCAACCAATTTCACTTAAAAATAAACAAAATATGAAGAAATTCAACGAACTTTTGGATCAACCCTCGTATGTAATGGAATTCAAGAGCACGGATTGCCAAAATCATTTGAGGGATGTTGCAAATCGAGATCTCGAATTATGAATCTCGCATTTTTGATTCTGAAAGATGCTGGTTTACACCTTATGTATAACAGTGCATTATTTTACTCTTTTTAAGCATGCTTTATATCAGCGAATTATCAATTTATCTTATTATTACAATAACCGTTATACTTGTGTCTTTGAAAATGTAAAGTGTGTTCCTATGGTAAATTATTAAACAATGGTATTGAATCATAATGGCATGAAAGTATTTTCCCACCTCCAATGGTGAAATTTATGCTTCATTATTCTTATTTCATGGAATGGTCCGCCACAATGCATATGTAAGAAATGAATTTAATTTTTGAAGATTCATGAGGACATAAACTACGACGCTTCACCTACATATTTCATTAATGATGAATATGCAGGCTTGAAGCGTTGTAGATAATGTACCTCATGAATCTTCAAAAATTAAATTCATTTCTTATATTTACAAAAGTTTCCTGATGAGTTTTTACAATTTACTCGACTCAACTGTCATTTTCTAAAGAAAAAAAGAGTTTGCACTATAGTTTTGACATTCAGTAGGGTGTTATGGCGTGGAGATATTCATGCTCATCCATGGTAGTTCATGAGAAAATGAAGAGTTCTTATTTACAAAGGGTCTTAAGAAAAAATATTTGGAAATGTAAATATTGTACAATGACAACTAGATGTCATTCAAGATACAATTTATCTGTGCATTTAACATTGATATATCTTATAACCATGAATTGCACACTGGCAGCATGTTAAATTCAGCTTATTATACCCCCCCCCCCCCCCGCTTGAAAAATGGGAGGGTATATAGTAATCGAGATTTCCGTCCGTCTGTCCGTCCGTCCGTCCGTCTGTTATGCCTTAGGGTACCCATCTCTTATCCGCAACTCCTCTTATACCAATGAGTGAAATTTAATGAAACTTTCACAGAATCTTTATTATATATTGCCATTGTGCACCTCCTATTTTACTTTTTGATCCGACACACATTTTGGGTTTCCCAGCCACAGCAAAACATGGACTTTGTCATCAGTTATAATCATATGGGAGGCGGGGGGTATCATTTAGTGAGCACATTGCTCACAGTACCTCTAGTTTAAGCAATCAAAAAGTATAGCATAAAGTCCGCCGACCTAACTGGCATGTAGACTTTATTGATTATATATTCACCCAATAGTTACAGATGTATTTTGATTGAGGAAAAAATGCATGCAATGTTATCTGGCTAGAAGAAGCTGTTGCGTTTAAAATGATGTACTTCAGTTCTATTTTTATTATGTTTTCAATCTTTTTGTATGCAAAATGTTATGATAATCTCTATGTTGAACCTATTGTACCAGGTAAGAGATTCTAAATTATTTTTCTTATTCTTGTTGAATTAATTATTAAAAATACAATCCTCTGGGTTTTTTTTTTACTAATGCCTGTTAACTAGGTACTTATTAACATGTAGTTTTATTAAATATTTACATCGAAACGTAAGGAAATTACTTTTCATTCTTATATCAGATTTTGTGATTTTTGAAATTTACTTATTGAATGTTGCTTTCACTCCGCTGCACTTCTAGCGACTTTCCAAACACGACACGAAATGTTTCTTGAATGTTCCTGTAATTTTTCCATCATTTATTTTTCATAATTAGCCAGTTTTAATTACAAAGGATAAGTATGTAAACTATATTCTACTGCATGCAGTATGTACAAAACAAATATGATATTCAAATACAACCATGAAATTTGGGAAAAGAAGTTTGTTCGTGATCGTGATGTTTCATACTTTTGCAGTATTTCTGCGCTCTCACAAAAAAAAAGATATCTAGGGGATATAAAGACTAACATCAATGTTTGTAGTCTTCGAATTTCACTGATTTTTCTTATTTGGTTGTTCAGCTACTTATTATAAAATCATTTCAGATAAGTATTTTTACATGTAGAGTGTTTTTTTCCTCAAATTGATACAAGAGTATAAATAAAGAACAGTATTCAGGCCATTGTATCGACCACGGATATATCGAAGTGAATGCTTTTCACATTGTTTAAGTTTGTATGCTCAAAGTAGACTTTTCCCTCTTTTTGCTCAAATTAAAGAAAAACAATATTGTCTTAGATTTTCAGTAACTGCTTTACTCTGCAAAAGATATAGATATTTAAAATTACTAGTAATCTAAGATGGGAGAGTCGCATATAGACAAACATACACAGACGATGCAATCTTTAGCTTTCAGGGTAACATTATGAATTTGTATGAAAAAAAACCCTAAAAGATTAATATGTAAATCATTTGTGTACTTATAACCATGCGGTCCTTATATGCTTTGATATCAGATTAATATTTTACATACACACTGCCTTATCTCTTTGAATTCACTTTGTATAGTTTTTTCCGATGGCAATGCTTTTCCTGCCTCATAATAATTCATGATTCTGGATAATTTCTTATCACCGGATCCAAAAAAAAAAATTAATAAAAAAGAAATCGAACCGTGATTTCAGATTTTAACAAATCCAAAGTAAACTGAGAACTAGTCACAGGGTTGATATTAAAACAAATTATGCACAAAGCCAACGCGGATGTTGAGAACAAATGTTGGAACAAGTACTATTAAGAGTAAGCATTCTTTGTTGACGTGTTCTCATAGGCAAGATCATATAAACAGTAAAAAGTTTGAAAATAATAGCCTTATATTTTGTTTGAAAGATGTCAGTCAGATGTCGCATAATGAAAGAATGTAATCGTAAAAGGGCATTGTGTAGTTGTGTAGACCAAAGTAATTGCAAAATTTTTATATCGAACACTATTGATTGTTGATAACCTTGTGTATCATATCAAAATTATTGTAGAAAAAAAAATTATTATCATTATATAACGACTTATGTTAAATGATGGTTTCATTTCGGGAAAAAAAATTAATGTTGTTTGATCAAAACTCACTATATTATTCATTTCATCTTTCAAAGAAAAAGTCAGCATATCATTTAATTTACAAGTAACAAAAATTTAGAAAAATGATTTTTAAAATTTTTTTTCAGATAAAGCCTACACAAAAAACTACATATATGTCAAAAGTAGAGAATACACTTGGCAAGAGGCTCGAGAAGTGTGTGCCAGTTTGAATGCTTCCCTTGTAAACCTGGACAGTTGGGAGATGTTTGTTAGAATGCGTAGACTTCAAAACAGCTCAATGTTCTGGAACAACGTGCCGTAAGTTTGTTTATTGTTTAACTTCCTTCTACAGAATTATTCACTCAAACTTAAAGTTTACTATATTGTTAACCAGTAGATAATAAAAACTTTGATACTTTGAGTTGCAATGAAACATGTTTGATTCAGAGCCTTACTACAATATAATAAAAATCAGACTTCTTAGAGTGAATATTGCGCGGATCTAAGAAGTCTGATTTTAATTTGATTAACATTTACTATTTCGGAAATTACAGATCAATAAAGTTTTTTTAATGTAAATATAGAAACAATAGAAATTCTTTATATCAGAAAATAATTTAAGGAATTAAGAAAAATATATATATCTATTTGAAATTCATAGTAAAAAGATACCTTAATTTACTAATGTGAAAACTTAATTTACTATAGTTATCTAATAGTTAACTATATTTGATACGGTACTTTTTGTTAGAGAATTCTATGCACATGCGCCCACACTTATCGGTTGAGGCTGCAAATTTCAATCCAAAAACGGTACTCAGGTCCAGTGAGCACTGAGGAATTTTTTACAGCGACATGGGACGTAGATTTATACCGTCTCAACGAAAATTAAAGGTCTCCATGTTTAGCAGTTTAATTATATTCAGCGATTGAAAAATAAACTCCTTACTCCACAAATAGCTCTAGAGCACACACGCTTACCACTGCACCACGCGTGCGTTGTAGATCTTATGGATTTAAAAGTATGGTTGTAAATCTGGAAAAAATGGAAAAGATGATTATGAGGAAATAATTTTTCTATGCATATTCACAGATATGTATTCGGTAATATGATGATATATCTGAAAAGAAAAAAAAATGATCTGGACATTTAAAAACGAGTACCTTACATTGAATAAAAATATTAATATAAAATACTATTTATACATTTTTTTTCTCAAGTTCATAGTTTAGGAAATTAACCTTGCATAAAACATTTTAAATTCTAAAAGAGCATCTTGATTTTTTCTCAAAATCTTTTTTTACGTAGGTTAATAATTTTAGTATGATCAAAATAAGATTTTAATATTAATCTTAAAGCTTACTCAGGTTGATAGAAATATGGAAAAACGATAATCCTAGGCCTTTAATTGTGCTTTTTATTTTAGAAACGACTTTGCCTGGATCGGATTGACCAATACAGACTCTGGACATGAATGGCAGGATTGCACACCATTAAATTTTTCAACATTTGTTTACTTTAAAGATTCTGGTAGCGTCACTTTCGATTCCAACAGACAATGCTACAAAACTAAACCAGATCTGGATTTTAAGTATGAACAAGAGGAATGTGATGAACATTATGGCGCTATATGTGAACAGCGAATTGAAGGCAAGTTTATTGGGGATCTAGGGAAATTAGTTTTGTAAAAATGATAAGATAGGCTAAGTTTTGAATTGTTTTCAGGGTAACCATTAAAAAAAGAAACCATGCAATTGTACTCACCAGAGAGGTCTTAAAATTTCAATTTTATTTTGTTATCAACTTTAACTGATTAAAAATTGCCGCAAAGGAGCAAAACTATTTCTTTTGGTATATCATAATGCAATAAGCCATTTTTGTAAGTAATAAACAGATTTATATATGAGTTCAGTTATTTCCAACATGCTTAACTTAAAAAAATAGATAAATACCAGACTTAAAACACGGCCATTTACCTTTAAGAAATGAATGAACATGACATGTTTGTTATATTTAGGCAATACTTGTCCAATAAGTGATTTGTTGTCACTAGAACTTATAAGTGTTGAATCCAGTGATAAGGCGGATTGCAAAAGAACGTGCAATAACGACGCCAATTGCTATGCTATTGTTTCACACTCAAGTAACAATTGCTTGCTAATGAAAACGAAGGAGGGTAATCGGCCAGAGGTCAACATTGCCATTCGCCAGTGCATTAGCGGTATGTAGATAAATTCGTAAAGGATTTAAGCTACGACTATGCAATGTTTGAATTTATTTCATAAGTGGGACGGGATTTTTTTTTTCATGAGTGTAAGGTACTTGTAAAAATATAATTTTCAGAAATTCTGTCTCATGAGAGGAAATTCAGTTCAAATAATAAAACGATGGGTTTTCTGTCCAATTTCTTTGATTTTCCTCCTGTCTCTTTCTAACTTAAACTGAAAAACTCTAATTTGGCTTGTGAAGGTAGGATATAACTACATGTATTTGGATTATGACGTTTTTTTTCTTTTTAAGGTGAAGTAAAAGAGGAAACTGACGTCATAACCCCTACAACGGTAAACGAGAAGACCATTGTTTTAAGATGTACAAATACCGCCGGTAAGCATGTTACCTTTTTTTTTTTACATAATCATTTTAATTCGCGGGGTTTAATATATTAATATTTACATCCACTGAATATTTTCTCCTTTATTTCTAAAGAAAATTCATTTCGTTAATCACTGCATGAACTACATTAGGCATGTTGCCTGTTCAGATTTCTTGATCACTGGCTGTTCCATCAATGAAACGTATAAAGACGTTCGCATCATTAATACAATAATTTATCTTTTAAATCCTATTTTAAATGATTATTTAAAAAGATATAAATATAAACAATAATATGTTTTTCTTTGTTATTACTGAAATTAACGGTCGCAGCTATTGCAGAAAAAATTTACATAACATGCCTACGCTGGTTATGTATATATTTTTTCTGTAACAACTGCTTTCGTTAATTCCAGTAATAACAAACAAATAAAGCATTTTATTGTTTAAATATTTGCGTGCGGGTAAACAACCAATACGAGGGTCATTCAAAAAATTCGTAGACTATGTTCCTCATTGTCATAATATTATTACAAGATTATAGATGAACACATTATCATAAATAAGAACATTTATTTTGTCGAAGTGAAGTTTTATTCCATTTGATTAAATAGAACTCAAGCTAGCCAATTTTTAAAGCAGCATGTTTTGTTACCACGGAGCATGGTTATACCAACATTGTAACGTCAAAAACAACGCCGAGAAAGTTTAAAGTTTTTCAAAATTACTCTGCTTTTTAATTTCATACACGGTTTGTAGTGTCTTCTCCATTCATAAAAAAGTATCATTAACACTAAACACCTAGTTTGCTAACAATTGTGCAAATAGCTTGAACTAGGTTGTCAGTGTTTCCATATTCTTTACCGCGTACATGTAACTCTATTAGTTCCGCAACAGTGAAACGCACATTACGTTTAATGACGTTCCTAACTCTTTTGACAAGATTTTTAACTACAACCTGTTTCTTTGCAGACCATTCATCGTCCGATTCAAACTCGCTACCTCTCAAAAATTGTATTTTCCATATTAATACAAAAACACAGCTTATTTTCCTCTATTTCCTGGTTTGTACAGAATTTTTCTAAGTTTGCTAAAGAAGTTTCTCGAATGCAAATCAAAATTTTATTGCTACTCGCTGCTCCGTCCTCCAACGTCATGTTTTTTTTTTTTGCCATTTTTAATCAAGTCCATATGTGTTTAGAAACTGATATCTTTTAAACGGAGCGGTATATTACATTACTTGATAGCATCTTAAGTGATACAGCAAGACTAAATTTAAACATGTAGTTTAAATTTCGTTTCAGTTCCATTTATAAGAGGTATGGCTTTAGATACTATTAAAAGTAAAATTAGTAAATTACTCAATTTTGACATTGCTCCGTGACCCCATTTTTGCTGTTCTAGATCTTCGATAACTTTTATAAATATGAAGATATATTCCAATTTTTCACTCAAATTATTCTTTGGATGTAATATGACGTTCAATAAAAAAAATTAGGGCAAAAGTCTACGAATTTTTTGATTGACCCTCGTACAAAGATTTTTTTTGTAGAAAAGGGTGAAACACGAAAATCACATTGAAACACTCAGAGATCATTGATGATGCCTCAGTATAATTATTAATTATACTTTTTTCATCTCATCTGTAATGCTTAGTTAGATAGACAAGGACTTATTAACTCTTCGAACATAAGACCCATAAAGAGCCATAGCTGCCTTACCCCCCCCCCCCCTTCACACATAGACGCCGCTTCTACTACGATCAAACCTTGGTCGAAAGCGTGGCTGATCGTAACAAATCGCAGGAGAAACGTCGCGGAATCGTCATAAGCGTAGCATGATCGCAGTAGGGTCTTCATGATTGGAGAGCTCTACGCTCTCATCACGCTTATTTTGAACATGTTCAAAACAAGCGTAGCGGGATCGTGGCCGACAAGAATCGGGGTTAAGTCGTAAAAGGAGCGTAGTAAAAGCGCCGTAATCGTACAAGCAGCGCGAAAGTATCGTAGAGAGATCTTCTTGATCGTAGTAAAAGCGACGTAAGGGGCGTAAAAAATTAACAAGCAAGCTCATATAACGCTCCCTCTGCGTTTGTACTACGTTCTCACTACGATCTCTCTAGTACGTTCCTGGAGATCCTACGAAGACCTACAATGTCCTTACGCCTATCATATCACGACATATCAGGCAGAAGTTTGTTCTTATAGCGTTGATATTTGACCAATTCTCATCTGTGAACTGCATGTAGAGGGTGACACTATACTTGATGATCATTTGCAATTGAGACTTTTCACATCTTTTACAGTAAAAATTGAAAATGCCCGTAAACAATGTGGTAAAGGCCGCAAAAAAACTGCGGTCGCATTGCTAAAATCGTACTACAAAAATCTGTGGTTGCAAGATAAAATTCCATCATCGCCAAAATCGTACTAGAAGCGTAATGCAATCATCATATGATCAGCACCACCGTAGCGACATCGCCGTACAGTCATCTGGGTCTGTGTAGCGTCGTATTATGGTCTTCAATATCGAAGTGGCAGCGTAGCGTAAACGCAGTAAACACGGCAACAGTCTGTGTAACATCGTAGTAGAAGCTTGTTAGCAACGCGTTTGACGTTGGGACATCGTAGCACGGTCGTAACGAAGACCATAATTTGCCAAATTGCTCCATTTAGACGCCGATCGACTGCGATCTGCCCCGATCCGAAACTTTTTCAGATCGTGGCTTGATCGGTATGATCGCCGTAGAATCGCAGCTCTGTGTGAACGGGGGGTTACTGAGGATTTGGCCGACTCAAGTATTTAAAAGGAAATCACCTGTTTCTTTTTATAGATACATGTACCTTTTCAATTCAAAATCAAAATACATATATGTTATCATTTGTGGACCAGTGTTATATTTTTATAGTTGCAAATTCGTTGAATGACAATAATTTTACTTGTTCAATACTCTTATTCTATAAAAGATTGTCAGAAAATTTTTAAAAATAAAACAAGCTAGCAGCTATCATGACTTTGGGTCATTAGAATAGTTTAAGACTGATTTTTCCCGAGAAACTTTGATGGTGTAATATTGTATTATATATATACATTATTTATACATGTATTAAAAACTAATAAAAGAAAACATGTAAAAAATGCACAGAGAAAAAAAAGTAATAAACAAGAAACACGCACTAAGAGACTCGAACTCACGATCATTATGTCTTAAATCCAGCAATCATACCACTACGCCACGAATCAAATGGACAGATTGTTGAATCTTGAAATAAGTTTAGGAGAAAAATTAAATACATATTTTCATGTGAAAAAAATGTAAGCGAAATGATTTTATTTTGGGAATTTATAGGTAAAAAATTCCGGTGATGAACATTACACCAGAAAAATAATTTATTGTAAAAGAAAAATGTAGCGCTAAATAAAAAAAAAACAATTACAGAAAAATATTGAATCAAAACTAAAATACAGCTCTGGAAAAATATTTTCCTTGGCCTTTTAATTATATGAACGAAAGACTTTAAAAAACACTTAAAATGTTCTACCTTTTCTACTGCTTCGAATCGCAATCTTCCCGCTGTAGATGCAAGTTCTACATAGTCACGTCACACACGTTAGAAGAAAATATAAAGTTAATAACGTTAAATGAAAACCACAAGTCTCACAATATTAAAGTTGTTGCCCTCAAAACCGTTAGAACCATACTTTAGTAGATTTCATTGAAAAAAAATCTGTACACATCTAAATATATTATTTAGAATAGATGAGAATAATTCTTTTTCAATTAAAAACATATGTCATTTACTGATTTTTTTTAAATTAAAAGAAGTAAAAATTAAGGGGACCGACTGTAGTTTTCATAATATTTCGCGCATCATAGTAAAATTACGCGTATCTACTGTTTTAAAGCAATTTTTTTAATTTAATTAAAAAAAAACAAAATTAAGAAAATTACAGGTTGAAAATTTTATAAAAA